ATAGAATAGAATAGAATAGAATAGAATAGAATAGAATAGAATAGAATTCTTTATTGGCCAAGTGTGACAAGTAATTTGTCTTGGTGTACATGCTCTCAGTATACATAAAAGAAAAGATACATTCATCAAGAGTCAAGAATCATAACATAAAACACTTAATGATAGTCAAGAAAGATACTCGCCAATATCTATAAATTTGTCGTGAGTCCATTGATGCCAGAATTCTTCTGAACTGTTAACTCTATTCCAAATATACAACAAGTTGAGTGAAAATATGCTACTCCACATACCTATGGGGGAGGAGAATGATATCGTTACTGGCAACCTAAAACAGTTCAGTTGAGAATTATCCTGTCATTCATCTGACCCAGATGATCTCCCTTCATGTGTTAGTTTTAGTTTTGTTCCTTTTTTTCTAAGAACTCAAAGCATTATGTATAAGCCACCTCTCCATTCTTCACTCATAACATCAGCCCCCAAAACAGTGATAAATCTAAAGTCACTAAGCAGTCTTTCCCGACTGAGCCTGGACTTGAATCTGGGTCTTTCCTAGTTCCTCATTCTTGATTTCTCCATAACAGAGGCTTGTCTAAATCTCTGTTTGGAATGCCTGTGTGAAAATGGGCATTTAAAGAGTTGTAAACAGTTGTAAACAGAAGGAAGTGATCAAGCTGGAGGCTACTGCAAATATTTAATGAAATATTTACTACCTTACTATGTTCTGAATGGAAATAGAAGGACACTCATATTCATGAATATTTCATGTGCTAGGTTTGGGTATATATTCACATGCAGAAAGCTGGGACACTCATACTCATATTATCACAAATAAATAAATGTTTCTTCATTATCATTTCTTCATTATCATGGTTACCTAGATGGGTCTACGTTCTCAGCCTGTATTTTCTTTTGGAAGCTTATGTTATTTGGTTGAACGTTATTTGGCTTCAGAATAAAGCCAGAAGTCTATAATTCTTTCCCCGCCCCTTTCAAATATATTTGCTGCCCATCTTGACATTCAAGGCAACTCTGATAATTAATTAATTTTGCCCAAGATCTAAACAAAAAGGCTGATAGGTTCTTGTTAATTATCTTAGAACAGCCAAGAGTGATAATGAGTGGTCCTCAAACTCTCCTCATCCCTTACCATTGACCATATAGCTAGGCCTAATGGAGGTTGGAATTCTATAACATCTGCAAGACTTGTGTTGACTGTCCTTAAATCAAGAATCAGATCAGAGGCCCACCCATGAGGTGCTGAATAATAATACTTTGACATTCTATCAGATAATTGATCACATCACCATGAAGATAGCACATCCGGGTTTCTGGAAGCTTCTTTATCAGGTGGCCCATGAAAAATTCACTTCCAAAGTCCTCAGGATGCACAAATGCTCCATACTTCAGAAATCCCACCTCATAGGGTGTAAATTCTAGCCATTCTGGGGAAAAAATAAGGAAAAAATAATACCTAATTGTCCTAATTGTAAAAAAAAGTGTAAACAAACCTGCAAAGCAAAAATAATTTCCATTGTGCAAAGAGGGATGACATTTGGGGAGAGAAACCTAAAATTATCCTTCTATTGGCCGTACAAACATTTTCATTGATCACCATCCTGAATCATTTTGCTTCATTGACTGCATCCAAACAGTTGTGGGTGAAAACAAATGTACTCTTTCAAGTCCTATGGGAAATTCCAGAACTATAAACAGTATATACACAGAAAACAATGTTACTGGAATTAGAATGTAAATAGGATGCTTTGGTTAACTATTGTGCTAAACAATTGAAGCTTGCTTGCTTAATTTGGACCTGTCATCCTCTAACCATTCTATCCAAACCATAGACTGGTAGTCAACCAATTTATTTTACAGAATTATTATAGACATAATTAGAGAGAAGATCAGCTGCCTTGAGTTTAAATTAAAGTTTAAATTAAAATATATTTAAGTTTACATTGAAATGTATTTAAATTTTAAATAAATTTGAAGTGCATTGCTTTAATAAGTTGTTTGTTGCCTGTAGCCACTTGGATCATAATAAATTGAACAAATTAATAGAAAAATAAAACAAAATAATGAAAAGTTAACCACCTTGGGTTTTGAATTTTTTCTTGGTTCTCAGTAACAAAAGAGTATTTCTTGTTGAACCCAGATTTTTTTAAACCCAGATTTCCAATGAAAGGGCTTTTTCTTTCCATTTTATCCCTATATGCATGTACAGACAAACAGTTAAATGAAGGACCTTACTGTTTATGACAATATGAGGTATATTTATTTGCTTAGGAAAGCCAAGGCTGAAATACGCTCATGAGATTTTTTGTTTATTTGTTTGCTTCCTTTTTAATCAGTGGAACCATACCTTTCTGAAATGCAAATATACAAAATATTTTTTAAAAAAATCTTTGCTGCTTTAATGCTTTGTCACAAAGGATGGAAGCCAGAAATAACTGAAATGATATGCCGAATTACTTAAGAATATGTTGAGAAAACCAGTTTGGTTTAATGGTTAAAGCTTGAACCCAAAAGACTATGAGTTCTAGGCCCTCCTTAGGCACAAGGCGAGGTGGTTGACCTTGGCCAGTTACTCTTTCCCAGCCCTAAAAACAAGGTAATGGCAAACTGTATCTGAAAATCTTTCCAAGAAAATTGAAAGGACTTGCTCAAGCAATTGCTAAGTCTGACATAATAGTAATAACGTAGGAAAAAATAGAAACAAGCCCACCATTTTGATTATAACTTCTAAATATATATTAGTAAAATGCAACCACAGTTCAATAGAATCCATCTTCAAATAAGTGGAACTAACTGTTGGATTTCCAGCCTTTATTTTTAGATGACTCGCCTAAAATGAACACTGCAGTTCATCCCATCAAATCAGCTTCATTACAAATATATATGGCAGATAGGATTGTCTATATTTCATAAAGCAAAATCAGTCTCATTCTATATCTACATATAAAATAAATATAAATAGTATGTACATCTAAAGTAAAAATCAGATGTAAATATTTGGGGCTGTTTACTTAAATTTGGAATATTTGACTTTTGAATGGATGGATGTTAATATTGGCAAAACTGTGGCAGCCAGTTGTGAGGTCAGATTTCTATAGGAGGTAGATTTTAAGAAACATACTCTACCCTCATATAAATATTTTCTTAAACTCAAGCTTGCCTCCTAGTGACTTCATGGAATATGGGTGTAACTTCATTGGCAATAAAACTGAAGTGGTTTACCATTGCCTCCTTCTGGGATTTCTTTTATTTTGCCACCTAGTCTACAATTTAAATTTTAACCAGGTTTGATTTTGCTTAGCTACTTGGAGATCATTCAAGGTTGGTTAGAGACTGCCATCTATGCTAATACCAGAAGATGTAATCCTGTCATTCATATTCTGTGGCTCCAAATAGATGTAAAAGCAAAATTCATTTTGTTATAATAATAATAAAAAGCAATCTCTATCTTTAGTGTTATCAGTCACCTTTGAAGTCTTGAGTGCTATACTTGTCCTTGATGTTAATAGTAACGTAGATGGGCAGGGGGTTTTGTCCATTTATCAAAGATTCTTTCTGCTCTGAAAGCCTGTGATTATCTTTCTAATTGTAAAGGAGAAATAAATGAAAAGTTATGAAATAGGTACGTAATGTAACAACCAAAAATACATAAATACAAGTGGAAAATCATCTTAATATTAAAGTTACCTAAAGCAACCCAGTATAAAAACTAAATATAATAATTGAACATAAGTGGGTGAAACAGAAGATGAAATGAATAAAGTTTTGTTTTGTTTTTTACTCAGGAGAGTAAGAATGGCATACTTGCTTGATACCACCTTGGGTACCTGCAACTCAAATTAATGGTTTTACTATTAATGTAACATAATATTTACTTCCAATGTTTATCAAATAGTGGTATTTGATAAACTAGCAATTGGTGTTCTAATTAGTGAATTATCGCAACGTTACTTTTTATATTTGTATAACAGGTATTCATAATTCTTAGGAAGTAAAAAATAATATATCAGACTATACCCCATCATTTAGCAAATACTCTATGATGAGTCCCCAGAGATCTATAAAAGTTATCGGGTAGCCCTCCTGTTTCCTTTGAGTCAACTGTTGATAGTAGTACTTCATACGGTTCGCGGTGAACATTTCCAACTTGCTTTTAGTCACTTGTTTCTTAGCCTCCTGTATTTTTTCATGTAGATCGTTCTGGGACCAGTAAGCATCCCTGTATAGATGTGCCATGGCCCTGAAAAGACACAATGCAATCAATGAGAAATATACCAAAAAAAATATAAAAGTACTTATAAATGTGTATAAAATGATATTCTGAGACTAGGCAGCAATACATTCCTAATTTCTCTGCAGTGTTTCTGCAGTCAAATTCTCATTAAGTTTATGCCAACAAACTACAGTTTGCTTTTATAGATGTGACTAGGTATTAGGAAAATAACTTTCCATTGGTATGAGCAACTCAGCAGAAGAAACAGAGTCCCTTTCACTGGATAAATTCAGTGAAAATCTGATTGAAATCTTTAATAAGGTTTCCTACACTAAATGTTTCATTTCAGCTGGAGGATTGGCCTAGCTCCTTATAAAATTAGATAGTTCTAAACAAGCCAGCAATAATATAACACATTTTTCAGACTTGCAAATTGCTCTCTATGATGCTAGTGGTGCTTTTCTAATAAGATGAAAATGACCAGTATAAAAATACAAATTTGGTTTTAAATATATATAAACACAAAAACATCCACATTTGATAAAAAATAAAAGATTTTTAAAAAGAGATCTTTAAAAAGATTATTGAGAAAGCCTCATATTTCCATGTGTATTGACAGAGTGAGGAACAGTGCTTCTAAATATAAACAATTGCTAGATGAGTTAATGAAGGAGTTGTCTGATTTTAAACAATTAGGTGCCAGATTTTGAGGGTACCACGTATGAGACTGATCATCATATTTTGGGCTTTCTTTTCCAATTCATTTTTGAAGTGATCCATAGGATTTCAGAAGTTTACTACAAAAGTCAAAGCCATGAATGACTGGTCCTAGGCTAGCACTAACCAACCAGCAAAAGCTGGCAGGAGGTTCCTAGCCACACCACTTTCTCAGTTTTGGAAAAGTTGTACTGTGGAACACCACCAAGGAAGTATGTCCATTTTATCTAAAGCATGTTTCATATATTATGTATAAGAGCGCTTCTGAAACCAAATGGAATATTTTACCATGCCATGGTGGCACAATACTAGAATGTAGTATTGCAGGCAAATCTCTGCCCGCAGTCTGGAATTCTATCCTGACTGGCTCAAATTTGACTCTGCCTTCCATCCTTCTGAGGCTGGTAAAAATGAGGACCCAGATTATTAGGACTAATATGCTGACAATTGCAAACTGCTCCGAGATTTCTATAAAGCACTATGAGGCGGTATATAAGTCTAATGCTATTGCTATTGCTACATAGAGGAAAACGTGCATTGGCCATTCTAAAAAGATACAGAACATGAAGATACAAAACATTTAGCATGCTAGCATTTATAGAGTAGTCGTGTATGTGCATCTATTTGAAAAATGCAGATGAAGTGATTTGATGCATTAATAAATGTTTTCAATGCCCTTATAGAAATAAAGGTGTCAAAGACATTGGAAGTTGTTGCACACACTATATAATAAAAGCATAGGAGAAAAATAAAAGTGAGATTAATTGATAAGGTGACATGAATATAAGAATGTCTACATAACATTACTATAGACTTGTTTAAATGCACAGCTATGTTAGAATTATTACCACTTTACTTTTCTTGTATTAAATTATTCCCAACAATCTATCATGAATTTTCACTTACCATGAAGTTCCAGACAAGCCAGACATGTATGTTACACAGTCCATAAGATTCAGCTTTTTGAGTGCTCTCATAGAGCCAAATGTTGTTGTGTATGACCTTGTCCCACCTCCAGTTGTCATGATTGCCACCACAGGAACCTGGGTAAAACAAGGACATGGCAAATAAAAAATAAGCACAAAATAGAACCTGGATAATAAATGTGTGGTATTTGGAGGACAAGGGTTAGCCTTGCACTTACCTAAGTGTTCCTTCATATGTTCTACCTCAGATTTCTCAAACTTGGTAGTCTTAAGACATGCTGGCTGGGGAATTCTGGGAATTGAAGTCCAGATAATCTTAAAGTTACCAAGTTTGAGAAACACTTGAATATCTAAAGAAGACGTATATATCCCTGGCTTTCATTCACTTGAAACAAGGGAAATCAGGTTTTTTATAACACCCAAAACACTGTGTCAGTTCTTGAGAACTTGCTCCTTCAAATAACAGTAAAAATACATTCAAAGAAAGTGTATTGTTTAATTATTGGAAAGATGTTTATATCCCATTTCTTATTTAAAAACTCAGTTTGCAGTAGTAAAGTAAACAATTCAGAAAAAAATGATAAAAGAGATAATCCAAAACTGATAAGCAAACAGGTAATGACTGGGGGAAAGCTTATCGGAAATAGAATAAATTGATTTTCTTTAATGTTAAGAAACATCTGTCAGCAACCCACATACCTCGTGATCTTGCAAATCATAATCTAGCTGGAGAACCTGCTTCAAAGCTTGAGCAACTATTCTTTTTCGCTTACACAAGAACTCTTGCTCTTGTGAACACAGATCATATCCCAAGCGAACATCTAAGTCTCCTGGGCTGGAACAATTACTAAGACATAAAAAAAAAAAATAGCTTAGAAACTTTATCTCAATATACAATGATCACACAAAAATGTAATAAAAAGAGATGATTTAAAGTGACCGATCACTGTCACAGTCTATGAAATAGCTGTTTTCTGCTCAAGTACTCCACACAATACATTGCACATCTCAAAAATACTTTTAGATAACACTCAGATATAGACATCATAAAAGGTACCTTAAGAAGAATGACAAAATGGCTTCCTGTAATGAAAAGGGAATTCCCTCTTCACAAACTTTTCAAAATGGAGTCAAGTAGAAAGAATTGTATTGCCTTGCATCTAAGAGACATGTGAACTAAGGTTCCATGGTGCTAACCTTATAGTGAATACTCCATAATTTATTATTTGATTTTATAACATTCATGTGGCACACATTAATAGATACAACTTGATATTAGTAGCGCCTAAAGGAAGTGTTGGGAGGGGGGGCTGGATGTGGTGCAAAAATTTCTGCATCCTGTTGCTACATTTCCCCCTCCATGAAACTTTCTTCTCTTTTATCCACCCTAAAAAAGTTTCATGCAAGAAAGTCCACACATGGAGCTTTCTATCTCGTTTGGCAAGGAAGAAGATTCTATATGTCCTTTCTTCATACAAAGTAACCCAAAGAGTAAAGAGGAAAGTGGGGTTCTGTGGGAAATGTTTCTCCTCCCCAAGGTCTCTCTCCTGATATCGTTAACCTTGGATAAGGTCCTCTTCATGGCCATATAATTTTTTATGAAGATTTAACATTGAATCATTCTTAAGCTCTGAAGGTATTAGGCATTCATAAAATAAAGTGCATACTTATTTTTGTTTTAATATGACTCTGAAATTACTTTTCAGTTGAGCTGGATGGTTTTTCTTTCTTTTTTGTTCTCCCAGGGTTTTAAAGATTTCAGCAGTTTTAGAAATTTAAAATATGCTATTTTTAATTTGAATGTCTGTTTCTTTACTTGATTGGTTTGGTATATGTTGGTGGTTCAGCACCTGAGAAGTGATTTTTTTTTTAAAAAAAATCTCGCTTTAATGGGATATGAACCTTTTTATTATGTGCACAATTTTACCAATTATTTATTGTATTAGTTTTTTAAATTCTTCTATACAGTGCTAAAAGTTATCTGACTATGTTGTATTTAATTGTATCTTATTTGATGGTCTACTTTCCTAGAAATTTCTACTCAATTACTACTAACCCCACTTTTGTTTTGTCTTTAACTCCAACAGGGCTATCTGGCAGCCCAGATATGAAAAGTAACAGCAATATTAATTATTGGTGCTTCTTACCAATCATTCACTTTTACGTGCAAATTGTACTTTTTTTCCTGAAAAACAGAATGTAAACATGTAAAAATTACAGAGCGAATATATTTTCACTTTAAATAAAAAAAACCATCTGCAGTCTTTAAACTGCTATTAAAATAATTATAAAAGTTACTTTTCTTCAAAACACAGTGACTCAGAGTATTTCCCAGACATAATTTGAATAACTTAGTTTCTGTGTAAAGCAACAAGGAGTGGGTTGAGAAGTCCTGAGGCTGACAGTAAGTTTAAAATCCAGCATTGTAACTGGTACAAGTAGTAAGCCAATAATGGCATAATAATTTTTATTTCATGAAGGATCATTTTGGGGGGGGGTTGCCATGTTTGAACAAGACTAGAGGAAATTATCCTAACTATGTGATGAGCATGATTATAATATATGAACTGCCTACCTCTAATTTTTAATTGCTATATTTCTAGACTGCTATAAAAGTTTCCGGAACATCTATTCTAAAATATTTTGGTTTGTCCTCATTGCACTCCAAAAATTCCAAGAGGAAAAATGGTTATAAAACATAATTCTGCATTTTCTGCTGTCATAATCCAATGGAAATATTTCTCAGTGACTATTCAGGCCTAAAATTTGTTGTAACTGTACTAAGATGACTGTAAATAAGGAATAAAAAAGGAAGTGAAAGCTATTCCTTATGATTATGTACTCAGAATAGCAAAGTATGACTAGCTTTCAGGACTAGTTAATTTGTAATTTCCAAACAGAAATAATCAAACTGAACTGGATGTTCAACCTTAATCCAGTCCCAGAGATGGGATAGCATTAGCAAAAATAGCAGGATAGATAAGATTGAATGCACGTGATAAATACCTTTACATCTGGAAAATGCAAACAGCCCAGTGGTGAGATTCAATTTTTTTTTTACTACCGGTTCTGTGGGCATGGCTTGGTGGGCATGGAAGGGGAAGAATACTGTAAAATCTCCAGTCAGAGGTGGTATTTGCCAAATCTTGGAACTACTCAAAATTTCTGCTACTGGTTCTCCAGAACTGGTCAGAACCTGCTGAATACCACCTCTGAAACAGTCCCATATTCTATCAGCTACCTAAGCTACTTCCCTCTGGTTCTAAATCTGAAACATCTGTCTTCTATTTAGCAGCCATTGTTTTTTATTTGAGTAACCCATGGGGCCTATCTTCTTTAGCTTCTGTTCTTGCCTATAAAATAAACTAATGAGCAAAAGAAACTAACATTGAACTATTTAGAATGATAAACTTCTTAAATTTGGAAGGATATCTCTGCCTGTATGTTTATCTTTCTCACAATCTCCATCTCTATCTCCGTCTCTAGTTTTGTCTTTGTCTCTGTCTCTGCTTTTAGCGCTAGTTCAGTCTCTAGCTCTATCATGAGTTACTCACTAGTAATTAGGGTTCACATTTAGTGACCCACTGATCTGTTTTACCATTATATCCGGGAATTTAGCCAGCAGCCTTTTGGTCATCTTTGGCTGATTAGTGGAATTTAATAAATCATTGCTCCATCTAACACCTGGAAAATTTTGTTATTGTGTGTGGTTTTTATATCTCTTGAATCTACCCAGGAAGGATGAGGAAATGATTTAAAAATGTGATTGTCACTTGTTACAATGGAAAGAAAGAAATCCAGTAGGACAGAAAATGACAAGATGAGCTGAAGTTTCATTGGAAATCTTCCCACACTGCAGGTGTTGCAATGTTTCTTCTGAAGCAGCAGCTGAGTAGGAAGAAAACCAACTTAATGGTGGAAGATCTTCTCAAAACCTACACTTTGTGAAGATAGGCATCTCAGCTTTGCACAGAAAGTCAGCATACTTTCTGCAAAGGAGTGCTTTAAGTGCACAATGAAGGGTTTCATTATTTTCCCTAAAGCAATCTAAAATGTGGGTTAGACAGAAGTTTGTTATCCATGCTTGAAAAAGAGATTGTTGCTCCAAGAAACTGATCCCCTAGTATTAAGTTCATCTTGCCCAGAACTCACAGGATCTAGCTAAACAAAATGCTCTTTTGATCTCCAATGGTACTCAGTAAAATATGCAGCCAAAATAACTTAGAGAGTTAGGGAATCACATTGTTTGGATCCAAATATGCAAAAGGTGGGAGAAGAGAAGACATTAAAGTCTTCTTTGAAAAGATGTTAAGGAAGTAAGAGGAAAGAGAGATTTGGGTGGTGTGTGGCAAAACAGGGTAGAAGAACTAGAAATTGCTAGGTGGAATTGCCGGTCATGCACGCTATGGAGAAGATTGAGTCAACACAACTGAAGGAGGAATACCAACTGTATTGCCCAATATGGAATTGTGACTGAATTGAGAGAAGAGTGAGCCACCAACCACATAAAAAGAAGAGAAGTGAATCATCATTTCGTAAATGAGAAGCTGTAAGAAGGAGAAGGTGAAGGAATTTACTCCCAATGAGTAAAGATATGAAGGGAAGTAAGGGGAAATAGAGTAAAAGAAAGCTAGTCTGCTCCTGGAAAGGCTAACATTTACAGCATTTGAGAGCATATAGTTGAAGTGTTGACTAATTGGTGACTGGATGATTATGAGGAGAGCTTAATTAGCTTAGGCAAAGAGAGATCAAGGGCAGGATGACAGTAGTGATAGGCAAGAAGGTACAAGTAATGAATTCTGGGAAAGAGAAAACTAAAATAGTTTAGGGCAGTTTTGAAGATTAGGTCAGTATTGTAGCCTTACCCAGAACAAAATGGTCACTTATGACCTTGTATTTTTTCTTATGAATAATTATAATTCATTTTACATGGGACTGCCCTTGAAACTTCTCTGCATACTTCTATAATATAGTTATTGCAAGTAGCTGCAATTCAATATACTTCCAAATGCAATTCAAGCAGTTGGTTATCATAGATTTAAAAAAATCTCATGTGACTCAGGGCCTATTTATCTTCAGGACCACTTGTCCCACATAGATTATGCCTGCTTAATCCAAGGACATTGATATTTCTTTTTTAAAATTTTTTATTCATTTTATTAATATAATATATAAAAATTCCATTTCAAGCAAACAGTGTGTTGTCTGGGTACAACTGTTTTTAGGCGATCATAATCAGAGTGTTTACAATAACATTAATACTGTAATAACAATAATATTTAGCTTGTCCATTTTAACATATTTTTTATTTTAACATTTATCCTTTTTATGTCTTTTTAACTTCTGTTTTTATTGTCTGACCATTGATAAAATAAGTCCCATGTCAAAAAATATTTAGTTTCTTCTTTGTCCTTAATAATAAGCGTTGGTCTATCAATTTCTGCACATTCTAGTATTTTCTTAATTACATTCTCATCTGTCTGGCTCTCATCGCAGTTCCATATTTCTGATAGTCCCCACCTATCAATAGGTGCAACAGAAAGGGACTCTAAAATTCTTGGTAGACATTTCCTTCCTCTGAAACTGCTTCATCTTTGAAGCACAGATGGCTGCTTCATCTTTGAAGCACAGATGGTTCCAAAGCTTGTGAAAAGTTGGCTGTTCTGGAAGATTTCTGGAGTTCCCAGTAATTTTAGGAAACTTATATTATTTTCAAAAGTATAATGATTTTTAAATATATTATTTTGTTATTGTAGCACTGGCTGTCCCTTTTGATCATTTGTCTACATCTTAACTGAAGTGTTTTACAAATTCACAAATAAATACTTATTATTTCTGGTATTTAAAGAAGGCACTCACTTCCACTATTGGCACTTTCTCTCCCATAGGCAGGGAATTCAGCTTCACAATTGGAACATCTTCCTTCGTGGAACAAGAACAGGAACGCTAAAGAAAAAAGTCTATAAGTATAAATGTTTTTACATAAAAAGCTTGTTCTAATGAAAGGACATTTGTAATGATTGTGATTAATGAATTAGACTGATGTACCGGGTTATAACGTGGCTTTGTCTTTGGTAGTTTAACATTCAATGATGGGTCCTTGTACTTGATATAATGGAACGTAGTGGGACTTGGAGGTGTGAGAACTGCATCTGAACCCAACTTAAAAGTTTGTGTCCCTTCACATGATCCTTTTATAGAAAGTGAAAGGTCTTTCTCTAAAAACAAAAGGTAAAGAATATGAAAAAAGATCATTACAGCAGAGATTTTCATGAGGAAAAATACAATGAAACTTTTCAATATGAATAATATAAATTCTTAAATAGAATAATTAAAAGTGAAATAACAAAATTATTAATAATTAATAGTTAAAACTAAAGTATTTGGTATATCAAGATAATCTGGAAAAACCTTTAAGGAAGTTTCTATAGTCATCCATTTACCAAAAGTGATCTGGGTGCCAACCAGACTTAAAATTAAAATTCATTATTTTTTTTCCTCTCTCCCTCCCTCCCTCCCTTCCTCTTGACCTCCTCTCTCTCTCTCTCCCTCTCCCTCTCCCCCTCCCCCTCTCTGTCTCATCCTTTTCCCCTCTATCTCCCTCCCTCTCTCTCTTTGATTTCCTGGAGTAGTCCTTGCAATTTTCTTCACAAAGTTTGGTTGGTATGCCCTTCTTTTCTTTCCAGTGACTAGCTCAAGGTCGCTCAGCTAGTTTTGTCCCTAAGGAAGTACTAGAACAAGTGGTGTCCTGGCTTCAGATCTGGTGTGTTAACCACTATACCAAGCCTGCTGTTTCTCAAAACCATCATAGAAATGTATAAATCAGTGAAAGAAAAGGCTAAATAAAGGCCCTTAAAAAAAAATTGCTAACATAATAGAAGGGGACGGCAGAGAATGAGGTGGCTGGATGGAATCACCGAAGCAATCAGCATGAACTTAAATGGACTCCTGAAGGTGATAGAGGACAGAAAGGCCTGGAAGAAGGTTGCCCATGGGGTTGTGATGGGTCGGATAATGATTTTGCAACTAACAACAGCAACAACAAACATATCACATAGGCTTGCTCATTTCAGAGTTCTGTTAACATTCTGGCCCCAGACTGTGGGATAAAACTAGGTCTTTATGGACTTCCAGAAGGCCAACAGGTTGGGGCAGTTCATATCCTAGGAGGATACTGTTCTACAAGGTAGAAACCATGACAGAAAAAGCACATTTCCTACAGTGCACCAAGTGACACTACTTCATCAATGAATCCTGGAGCATGTTGTGAACATTAAAATATTCATATTAATCAACATTTCCAACATGGTGGTGGTGGAGGAGAATCTTTGTAAAAATGTCTTATCAATATTCTCAAATAAAGCACATTTTAAGTAAATCAGATAACTGAATGATCTTGAAGGAAATTCTATAACCTTATGGACATTAATCATGAATGTAAAACAAAACGTACCTGTAGATATTTTAGCTACCTTGAATATTGTGGGTTTTTATAGTTCAGTATTGCTTTAGAATTGCAATACTAGAATGTTGCAATCTGAATTATTTTGTGGTTTTTTGAAAGATAATAAATACTCTAAATGATCAATAATTTTCTTTAGTGTGAGCAGACAGCAGTTTGCCTAGTCAATGATGGGGGGATGGTATGAGGGAAAAAGTACAGAAAAGAAGGGTAGACTAATAAGCTAGGTTCCCACCACTTTACCAATTCACTGACAAACCACCTAATTTCCCTCACTTTGGTCATGGACAATCTGGGTGACCTCATGAAAATTATTCTTCCTCACTATTAGTAACTCCATCTCTAATGAAATAATACTTTGACCTGATTGGCTAACAGCCATAATCAATATGCCAAGTAATAATGAGATCGCTGGAGTTATGTGAAGAGACCTCATGAATCATGGACAATTTCCTGAGTTCTTTGTTTGATTTTTTTTTTTTTGCTCTGTTGTTTAGCACAGTAATGAAAACATTTCAGTTATGACTATGCAATAATTTTATATAAACTCACGAGATTTATGTCGCTTGCTTTGATCCACCTCAGCTTCCAGTGTACAAATTTCACGACACTGTAATAAACAGAAGTAATAAACAAAAGCAACATAAATGATCACTTCTAGATTTAAAACTGTCTTGTGAGATAACTTTGAACAGTACCAGTACACCTGTACAAAACTTAACAGCTAAAGAAAAAAATAATAATTGAGTTTTGGCTATGAGAACAATAGGAAACTTCTATTGGTTTCTTTGCTGATTCCTTACACTGATTTTCTTTGTCACCCTTCAAATAAAAGTTGTTTTTGCTTTCAATAAGAGGGTAAAGAATATAGGTAGGTAGGCCATTAGCAACAAGGAGCTGCTGTCATGATTCAAATGCTTTATATTAAAATAAATGCTTCTAGACTGAAATTATGGATTGCCAATAGTTTCATATGAGTGTATCATCCACCAGAACCATCAAATCCCACATCACAACCACAAAGGGTTTTAGTGGAAAAATATATGATCAAAACTAAAAGAGAAAAGAAAGTTCCCAGGGTGGGATATAGAGTAAACAAAAAGAAAAAAAGAATTGAACCCACAGGAACACATGATCATCATCATCATCATCAAACCAATTTCCTTCCCTGAAAAACATAAAAATAAAACCAGGAAACTGCTATGCTGATCATATGGGAACTCCAGTGGAATAATTAAAATTTGATTCTCTGAGATGTAAACTAACTGCCAAAAAAAGCCAAAAGACCGAACATAGATAGTAGATAATTAAAATGGGCTATTAAATGATTTGAAACAAATGAAACATATGGGGTTCACAATACTGCTTTGGATGTTGCTTCTTCAGACACTGCAGGGAAAAAAAGAAGAGGAGAGGAAATATGAGCCAGATGAACTGGAAAAGAACCTGGTTGCAATCTTAGATGTAAAATAATGGCCAAGATAATCCAGACAGGATAATCTACTTAAACATGTCTCAACCCTGGCAGCCTTATGATGTGTGGATTTCACTGATCTATGTTAAGAAAGGAAGAAGTCTCATTGCCATTGCTGAAGATACTGTATATCTATTCTTTAATAATAATAAAAAAGCTGGTGATATCATTTAATTACTGGAGGATAGCAGATTGGGAATACACTTCTTTTGCTTGAACAGGTAGGGTAAAATAAGGGAAAGGACAGATGGGAAAATAGTTGTATTTAATTTAGTGGGACATATAAAACTTCCATTCTAAACATATGATTTGAACTAGGGGTGGGATTCAAATTTTTCAACAATCAGTTCTGTGGGTGTGGCTTAGTTGGTGGACATGGCTTGGTGGTCATGTTATTGGCTGGGTGTGGCCAACTCAATATCACTCACATCGAGGCACACATCTCCTTGCCTGGGCTCTCATGACTGTGGGGATGCTGCAACAGTCGTAAGTGTGAAAAATGGGCATAAGTCACTTTTTTCAGTGCCATTGTAACTTTGAATGGTTATTTCACACAAGTAAAGTACCAGCAAAGGAGGGGGGAAAATTCCAGAGAAGTTCCTGAGACAGGAAGTCTCGTCCTGCCAAAAATGTAATAAGGGTTAACAGAGAGGCAGTTTCTGTAAGCAACACCAGAATGTTTCCTTCTTGCCTTCCTTACAGGATTAGGCCAATAATTTCTTCTAACAACTAGTTCTCTGAACTGCTTAGAATGTTAATAACCGGTTCTAGCAAATAGGTGTGAACTGGTAGAAACCGACCCCTGCATGCCATAGTTGGCCAAGGAGATTCTTAGCAGGTGCTAGTTTAACCATGGCAGAAGACAGAAAGGAACAGCTAACTTAGTGGTAGCATTAAAAAAAATTATCAAACCTCTGCTGATCCTAGTTTCCCTGTCAATAAGTTGTGAAAAGTATATGGGAGAAATTGGAGTCACCATATCAAGCACAATAAGTGTGCTGATAACCTCTGGAGAGAAAATGGAACAATAGGTCAACAGATCAACCTTTTCTTTCTCTTTAAATATCAGGCCATATCATAAGATAATCTAGAATGTGACCTGTTCATGAATCAAGAGGGATTAAGGAGAATACTATCCAAAGCTAAAATAGAAAAAAAAAACCCACATCCAAATATATAAACACTAGGATATTTAAAATCTCTCCAAGTCAGAACAGGGAACTCTTGAATAAGAACCCAAAAGGTAAATCTTCAGAAATCTGTTTTTCTGTGATCAAATAAGAGGAAAAGAATTGTGAGATAGATGGGCAGTTAAAAAAAACAATTGAAAAAAAAATAGAGGAAGATTGCTTGACTAAGTCTTCAGACGTCACAATTTATACTAGGTGAGTGATAAATTAATCGAGCTAGACAATTTAAAAGAAGCATTTAGTAAGTGATCTGGGATTCAAAATTAAAAGGTTGCTTTTTGTTAGAATAAACAAAACAAAACTAACAAAAGCTTTTTGTTAGAATAAACAATTTAACAATATTTGTTAATAACAAAGAATAAATATAAATTTGAAAGGTAATCTAATAATTGACAAAATAATTACTGTTATCATTTCCAATCTCAAACTAGATTAGAGAGTATCAAAAGAAATTTCCTTTCCTGACCAATAAGAGTATGAAATCCATTGGATCCACTGTAGGAAAACTCATACAGTATTGTTAATATGGAGGGGTATTTTAGTAATTTAGTACAGGGGTCCTCAACCCCTGGTCCATGGACTGACACTGGTCCATGGCATGCCAGCAACCAGGCCATGCAAACAAACAAAGCCTCATCCATGGGATGCAGGCAGCTGCAAAACCACAGCTCCTCCAGTTCCCCAGAAAAACCTTTCTCCAGGGAACCAGTCCCTGTTGCCCAAAAAGTTGTGGGCTGCTGGTTTAGTAGTCAACTGAGGTAAAGAAATGATCTATTCTAGTTAGGCCAGAATGTTCTGAGGATCTTGACAAGAGTCGATTCTTGAAGCCTCTTTGAAAGCAAAAAAAAATGTGTTCTCTTTATTCAAAGTGGGAAATGTTTTAAACGATCCACAGAAAATATGTCTCTGGATCTGGCAGTGTCTTTCCTACTTGCTATTTAAGTTCTTCTCAATGTCTTTTAAAACATACAAAGATGGGTATCACACAGAGACAATTAATGGCTGGCTTCTAATTCCGTGACTCTTTCCCCCAATGGTAAAGGAAGAGCAAAAATAATCTTTTACCCTGGAAATCTTTTGCAAAGTTGGGGAAAATAGGAGAGATATCTTAAACCAGCATATTTCAATTTAGAGGTGATCTTCCTTTTAGATGAACATAGTATGTGTTTTACAATCCTTATTAAAAAATCCAGTTCTTATGTTGAGCTTCAACAAGGATTAAACTATATGGCCAAATATATCTGGAAATTCAATCATCGTTAAAGTGCATTGCTTCAGAATCAAGTATCAGAATACTCCCAGCAAAAATGTGAGTTGCGTACTCATACCTCGCATTCACTTAGATCACAGCAGTATTATCAACAGTGATAAACTGCAATAAGTGTCATGAAAAACAGAATTCAAAATTTACCACTAGAACTCCATTTGTAATTAGTGTTTCCGGAGGACCACACCTAGAAAACAAATGTAAAGAAATAATTCCAATATTCCTGCAATTATTGTTTCCTTTTCATCCAAATAGAGACTGAAAATACATGTTTAGAATATGATCCATATATTGAGATTTTAAAATTCCTATAGTTGCCCTGAATTGTTAATGAGTTATTGTGGTTTGTCATTGTTCCATCTAGTAATATAAAAAACAAAGACCGCTTGTACTAGTGCTTCTTCTGATTCAGAGTTCTGATATTTAGTTTAGCCCTTATGAAGAGATAAAATTTGAATTCAGGCTGATGTAATTATGTATGCATTACTCATATGCTTCCTTATATCAATATAGTATTTATACAGGACTTTGCGTAGGAAGTTATGTAGCACCTTTACAAATGGAATTTCTTGCTGATGGTTTCTAACTAATTATAGTTTCCATACCTTAAACAGACAGTAAATTGAAGGATAAGTACTGCTGCCATTCCTTATCTGTCTCTTTCCCCTCCTGTGCAGTATGGTACAGAGATTATTAAAATAACAATTACACCCTTCTTGTAAGTCATCTGTTAAAACTATTACATTGCTTTTCAAGGAATGTATCTGTTTTCACACCATGAAATACATCTGTCTCTTTCTCAGTAGATATCATGTAAAGCAATTATCTCTCTGTATGTGGGTCTTTTAAATATACAAATGATCAAACTGTCTTTGACCAACATTATCTATAACCCTTATGTAACCCAATGGCCCTTGCTTGTGGCTAATTTGAGACCAAGTGAGCTCTATTTCATGTAACTCACTAGCTTTATTAAAACAATTGTTTGGATCCTCTTCAGATGTTACTGTTTATTGAGTGAGTTTTTCTGCCACAAGGTTTATATTGTCCTGCTTTTCTATGCTACTAGAACAGTGTGAGGTAGATTTAACAGTTATACATTGTTTTTTTCTTATTGTTTAGTAAAAAAACAATATATAAGCAGGACTATATCCCTGATTGCATTTTATTAATATTTAGTGAAAAACAGTTCCCAAACAGACCTGCTTATTTATTTCTACTGAAAATTGAAATTCTTGTATCTACTGACAGTGTGCCAGAGTAATATAGAAAATAAAGAATGGAAAATGCTTACGCAGGTTCCACTATAAATTCAACTTCCAGCTCTTCTTGTGTCTGCCAGAAAGAAAATAGTAAAATTGAATTTGAATTAGAATCTTTCCTTTAACATCATTTTTAAGCACATTAAAAATTGGTCGATGACATATTGAAAAATAATGTAAGCATAAAAGCTGGAAATTTGTCAGCAAACAATTCACTTTTCTATCAAACACAGCTATGTTTTCATCAATAATAAGCAAATATATGGAAGATTTTATTTATTCATGTATTGTGCTCTCCTAATTACAATTTTTCTTACATTTTGGCAAGAAACAGGATTTCTAAAATAGATGGAATATAAGTACCAAATATTTCAATGGCACCAGTTTGCTTAGTTCTTAAAGTTAAAATACAATCTGGAAATTATAGCATGCAGTTAGGTAGAAATATTAGGTAACATCAGACACAGACAATTATTGACTGTTTCCAAGTTAACAGAAAACAAAATTGGAACTTTTTCATTATTATATTTTTAATTTATTTTACCATATGTTTAAGTAGAAATCATGAGTTCTTCACTTTGAACTAATGTGAAACTTACTCAATATCTTCTATAGATAGTCTCAAACAAAGCAATTCTCCACCCAACCTTCCCTTTCTATGCTGGCCCTCATAAAAGAGCAAGATGGGCAGTGAATATATTTAATAATAAATAAAATAAATAAAGAAAATGTAATTGAATAATCAACTAGAAATTAAAATAAGGCTGCACTGCAAAGTGTAGACAAAAGTGAACTCTATTAAAAAGTCAACATTTTTTAAAGAAAATCAGATAGTATTAATGTGGAATATGTGACAAATATGACAGATTTGAAAAATGTTATAGATAAAATCTAGATCAAAAATCAAAACAGAAATGCAGGTTACTTGCCCTCACTTTTTCTGGTGCTCAACATGAGCCAAATTCTGAGGGCTTTTTTTCACAAGATGCATGAAATCTTCCTAATAATAATAATTTATTAAATTTACATGCCACCCAACTCACAATGAGTTATTATTTATTAGCAGCATTTTTGCAGGTATAACTGATGAATCAATTATTGAGAAAGATCTCATTTCTTTTATGATTCAGAAAAGTTATGGAAGCCCAGTAACTAAATTTTGTTACAGTTACAGTCATGGTAGCCAATCAGTCAGTCAAGAAAAAAAACCTATCTAGCTACCGATGACTAAGTGGATTCTATTCAGTGTGGTGGATTACAAACTGTTTAGAGATTAACACATATAGTATACTTGTTCTTACAGTGTAATATTTCTCACCTCTGGATCACATTTAAAAGTCATGAGAACTTTCTCATTATCAGGAAGACGAGCTACATCGAAATTGATAGTGAAAAGGTGATCATCTTCAGTAACAGCATCTGAGTCATACACAAAGAACTCTAGCACATTCTGCGAAGAATAAGAAATATATTATATTGCAGGCATTATCTGTATCTATAAAGCAGACCTTAGGGCAGATGTGGCTGAAATACAGATACTGTATTTCCTTCAGCATATATGCTTGACATTTCTGCTTTATTGCCATTTTACAATAAAGTATACAAATAGCAGCCACCATGAGGCAGATGCTTCTGTGGGAGGCAGGCATCGGATCTGTATAGTGGCCCAAGTCAAAATGGAGGGCAGTGTCAAATGATTGGGTTACCATAACCTTTATGGCATGACTCCTGCTGGAAGAAGTCAGAAATCCTGATTTTGAAACTGGAATAGATAAATGTGACTTGATACTGTGGAGTTCTCTGAGATACTGTGGAGTTCTCTGAGTTTGGTTTCTTGAAGACATTTCATTACCCAACTAGGTAAAAATTTCAATGTTATTAGAAGGGAGTGGGGTTTGTTCTCTGTTTATATACAGTAGCTTTCCCTGTATTATTGGGATCCCCTCCAACCATGGCAGGCCAAACATCTGCAAGCAAACAACCAAGTTCAGAGAGCACAAAGACCACATTTCAATCCTGAGCAGGGGTGGGATTCTACCAGTTTGTACCTATTCGCTAGAACCGGTTGTTAACATTCTAAGAAGTTCAGAGAACCGGTTGTTAGAAGAAATTACTGGTCTAATCCTGTAAGGAAGGCAGAAAGGAAACATTCTGGTGTTGCTTACAGAAACTGCCTCTCTGTTGACCCTTATTACATTCTTGGCAGGACTAGACTTCCTGTCTCAGGAACTTCTCTGGAGTTTTCCCCCCCTCCTTTGCTGGTACTTTGCTTGTGTGGAGTGACCGTCCAAAGTTACAGTGGCACTGAAAAAAGTGACTTATGACCATTTTTCACACTTACAACTGTTGCAGCATCCCCACAGTCATGAGAGGCCAGGCAAGGAGATTCGTGCCTCGATGTGAGTGATATTGAGTTGGTCATGCCCAGCCAATAACATGACCACCAAACCACACCCACCAACTAAGCCATGCCCACAAAACCGGTTGTTAAAAAATTTGAATCCCACCCCTGACCCTGAGCTACCTACATTCTATTTATTGGCACTTTAAGACATCTCCATGGTGGACTAGGAATGAGTTGGAGGCAACAGAATGTGGACATGTCCTCTAAAAGGCATCTTAATGCCATATTTAGTGGGATATGAGGATGAGCTTTCAATCTTCTCAAGCATAAACATTCTCAGTTCCATCAGTCTTCATTACATGGTTCAGATTTTAATCCCCTGATCATCCTAGTTGTCTTTACCTAAGTCTGTTCTGGGTTTGTATGATATCTTTCTTAAGTGCAGTGTATAAAATGAATGAACTAAGCAGTTTCCCAGTTTTGGAAGATTTATTTCTAAAAACTGCTGGACCATTTCTAGAGAGGACCTATCTGCATCTTCTGTAAGAAAGATGAAATATACTCCTTCTTTGATATTTAGTGCACAGCACAGAATGCTTTGTAATCTTTTGTTTATAGTAGCAAGCACAAAGAATAGTCTTCTGGCATTCATTAAATGTATATCTACCCAACTCCATTCTTATTCTGGAATACAAACTGGAATACATTAGTTATGAAATCATCTTTCATAAGTAAGAATCTATGTCATCAAATAGATCAGGAGAATACAGATTTTAGTGAGTAAAACTCATGCCATCATATATGTTCACCATTTGCTTCCAATTTTTTTGATGTTTATTGTTGCAGACTGCGATTATCAGATTTTATTTATTCTCTTCCTTGAAGTGCTGTTGGTATATTTAAAATGTTCAAATGTAGAAGTTGGAAGTTATTGTGTGATATTGACATAAACACTGATACACTTCAGTGGTTTTCAAAATGTATTACTAAGTAGGGTTATGCATGATTTAAAAATGAATTGGAAGAGGTTTTTCAGAATTCATATGATCATGTGTGAGACGTATTCCTACCATTCATTAAATCTTGCCAATCTTTCTTCAAGCTTCCACATGAACATGAATCAAAATTGTGGTTGCTTTAGGAGTTGATTGTTTAGAATTAATGCAACCTTAAAGCAGCTGCAATTTTTTAGGCACTGAAAAAGGGTTATTTTAATAAAACAGGCAGGTGTTTCATTAGTTACAAGCAACCTTTCATGTTGTTTGTTTAATTCTAGAGATATAGTACTTAACTTTTTCCTAATTTGAGAAGTAAAGATGAGAAATATTGTACCAATACTAGACACAAGTTAAGAAGTGTGTATAAATTCCTACTCAGAGTCTAGATAGCAAAGGCCATCATAGCCTCCCTCAGTTATCTTTTTCTTTTAAAAAAAATAATAATAACACAAACAAGCATTATGGTGAAAAGCAAACAGAACCCTACCCAAAACCTACAAATATCAAGACATCAAACAATGCATACAAATTTGGATAAAATGGAATATATTTTGGAAGCTGTTCAGCAGCGGCTAAAAGAGATAAAAGGTTTTCACCTTGACTTGTCTTTGAATTCTATAGTAAAAGGTTTCATTCCAAACAGGGTTCTTGCAATTATTTACAGTTTTAGTCTTCAGCTTCTCAGTTGTTGCAGTCGGTAGGCAAAGGGTCACATAACAATCAGAGTTGCTTACTGTATAAGAGGAAAAAAAAGATAATGTTGCCAGTTTCTAAGCCAGCTTCCAATCATATTCAAGGCAGCATAAATAAAAAAAAATGGCTGTCATACAAGAGTGTATCATTATATCACTGAGTCTGCCCTAAGCTCTTAAGTAATAATCATAAAGCATTTATCCTGAGACACCTTAAAACATAAAGTATGCTAATAAATCAACGCGTTCTGCAACTCTTATATCACATCTTTTGACCTATCATGATATCTATTATTGATATCTATTATTATCTTTTATCACCCAGTTATTTAAAGGGAAGTGTCAAAGGGAAGTTTCCCCACCTGTTTTTAAATAACCTGCTTTTGGAGTTTCCATCGCTTATCAAGGGGGATTTAATGAAGTGGAAACCCTCAATCTTTTCTTTTTAAAAAATACAGATTGTGTACAATATACTATGTATGCAGTTTCCTGAAAATTATAGTTCTTGTAAGTTCACATCCTGTATCCATTCCTGTCTACTTGTATGGTGCATTCATGTATCATAAGCATGCACTCCTAATCACATGTTTCAATATGATGAAACATGCAGTGCGATATCACAGTAAAATTCTACCATTTTTTGCTTGCATTGAGACATCACAATGCCAAGTACAAAGGAATGGAATTATCACTCTGACATCTCAATGCATGTTTCATCACATGCCCTTCGCCCCCGACAGATGTTTATACATATTGATAGAGATTGCATGAATAATAGAAGAAATAGCTATAATATATGTATGGCAGCATCAGAATTATACAGTATTTGATAATTATATATGTAATTGGCAGGTGTATTTGGATGTATTAAGGGTCATATGTTTTTTTAATAGCTGTAATAGTAGTAATAAGGGGGGAAATATGTATGTTTTACCAATGAAGCATAATTCATGAAGAAGCTTAACAACAATTACAGATAGTCCTCAACTTACATGAGTTCATTTAGTGACCATTCAAAGTTACAGTGGCACTGAAAAATGTGACTTATGACCGTTTTTCACAGTTGTGACCTTTGCAGCATCCCCAGGGTCACGTGATCAAAAATTCAGATGCTTGGCAACTGGTTCATACTTATGACCATTGCTGTGTCCCAAGGTCCTATGATCACCTTTTGTGACCATTTCACAAGCGAAGTCAATGGGAAAGCCAGATTCACTTAACAACTAGATTACTAACAGGGATTCACTTAACAACTGTGGCAAGAAAGGCTGTAAAATGAGGCAAAACTCACTTAAAAAACATCTCACTTAACAACAGGAATTAGGGCTCAGTTGTGGTCATAAGTGAAGGACTACCTGTATGTGTACAATTCAGTAGTCTAACACTCAGTACATCTGTCTTTGCTCTCAAGGAGTATAGGGAGGAACAAGCCCTAGGGTGGTAAAGGGATGGTACTAGACAAATCCGCTTATCCTGCAAATCTGCAATTACATGAGCAAGTTTTGGCACCCTGATCAAATTCTATGTTTCTGCACATTCCTAAAAAGAGAAGCTGACATCACTTATACATACTGTAAATCTTTCTGCAAATTTCAATGCATCCTTACTAGTTATGTACAGCACAAAAATACTGAATATGGCAGGTTCATAAATTAGGACATCTTTCCTGTTGATTGTGTTACTTCTTTAAAAAAAAATTGGAAAGTTGTTAATAAGGCCCAAAATTAAATCATTGGTGAACAATCTCTGGTTACTCTGTTGTATAAGAAAAAAGAGCTCACTCATCATTTGAAAATTAAGTAATTCACTCTTACAGGAGAGTGGAGAAGGCTATTAAAAATCTTTAGCATTTCTAAGGAACAATTCCACTCGTTAATAACATTGTTCCTTAACATTGTTCAGAAACAAAAAAACAAAAATTATATGACAGGATTAAGATCAAGGCAAGTTTTGGAGGACCAAGTCAAATCTCTGGGAGAAAACTTGTTAGGTCTGTAAAACAGAACCAGCAGGTCATGAATAATCATCTGCTGAAAATTTTAGCTGTCCATGGAATAGTTATCCACAAGTACAGCTTTACCTATACAATGTCATCTCCATGGGATAGTTGTCAGGATAAAATCCTTTCTCTGGTCTCATCATAAAAGTCATCATTTAAAGAAGCAGTTCCCAACCTTTGTGGCTTGGCGTTCTAGCAGAGCGGGGGAGAGTTGAACTGGGCTGCGTGAATGGTGGCTGGCATGCACACATAACTCGACTTTTGAAAGTTGAGGTGCATTCGCGTGTGCACCCATGCTGGCCCACCATTCATGCAGCCCAGTTGCAAAAAAGCCATGGCTCAGTAGTGGGCCAGGGACCCTGGGATTAGGGACTATACAGCCCAGTACAGGGGGGGGGGAACCCTGGACTATACAGCCCAGTACAGGGGGGGAAATCTTGAGAAGCTTGAAATATTTTGAAGCAAAGTACTTCGGAATGACCAATTAAATTATTAAATTACAGAACATATATTGTGGGGAAAAGAATGACATATTTGAAAAAAATAACCTCTTGATAAACATCCAGCACAGGGTGGCTCTATTATGCTTTGTGGTTATCATTGACAAAGAAAATATTGCACCAGGGAAAAGAAGAAGAAGAAAAATGGATTCAATATATAAATATATCCTATTGGCTAATATCCCACATTCAGTTAAGAAATTGAAGTAAAAAAAGAAATTGGATATTTTATCAAGACAACCTCAAAAACATGCCTCTAAATCAAATTTTTAGAGGAAAGAAAGTTAAACTTCACATTACCCAGGCTTAAATATTATTGAAAATCTATAGGGAGATTTCAAACATGCAAAGAAATCTAAAAAGATTTCTGACCTGGAAGAGTTCTTCAAAGAAAACATTCCAAGAACAAGAATAGATCAGTGGTGGGAATTAGCAGGTTCTGACCAGTTCTGGAGAACTGGAAGCGGAAATTTTGAGTAGTTCAGAGAATCGGCAAATACCACCTCTGACTGGAGAGTTTACAGTATCCTTCCCCTGCCACGCCCACCAAGCCACGCCCACCAAGCCACGCCCACAGAACCAGTAGTAAAAAAATTTGAATCCTACCACTGGAATAGAGCTGTAGTGATCATATGAAACATGTTAACACCCGAGAAAGGAGGTGTTAAAAAGACTGACTGAAAAGGTTTCCCAATTGCACCTGGTTTTTTACTTTGAATTGCAAACAATTCCACATCACACCCACATCCAAAGACACACACAAATAACTATTCAAAATGATGATGCATTTCACTTTTACTGTGTAAAATTGCGTCAGTTTCTGCTTGCTTAGGAGATTAATTGAAACATACATTTCATTGATTTCTTGATATATGAATATTGCACATCACTGCTCGTTTCTACATGCATTGTTCAATAATCTAATGCAAACTACTTACTGTATTTCAAAAACATTTGAACTGTATTGCTCTCAGGGTCTTCTCATTGACATGTTAGTAAGAAGTGATAGAAACTGAAGGCTAAAACATCTGAAAGCTATCTGCTTTCCTATCTCTATGTCAGAGAGATGAACCCATCAACAAAATCCCTAGGCTGTAGTTACTATACAGGCTGTAATTATTATACAGCCCAGCAGAAATAGCTGATAATCTGGAATGATAAGAGCTGCAGTCAAAAACAAACCTGAGGACCAGTATATTAACAAAGAAATTGATTTCCTGTGTTTCCTAAAGAGAGATTGTCCACACATTAAAAATAAACGTCAATCAATTTTATGCGAAAAAGAAGTTGAATGATGTGACTCCTCAAATATCTTATGCCTTAGCATAGTCAGTCTATTTGTGATTTCAAGAACCAACATACTTTCTTACATTTTTTTCTGCTTTACATCTTTTCATGACCTTTGTTGGGTTATTCTCAATCATAGAATCATAGGGGACCTCAAGATTAGTCTTCTTATACAGATTACAAATATTCCTTTCATCCAACTTCAGAATTTGCTAATCATTAAGTCATAAAGGCTACTGGAACATAGATGCAATTCCTTATGAAATAAATTAATCAAGAATGAAATTCTGAAGTTGCTTTTAATCTACAAATGTCTAAATAACAGTGGCTAACACATACTAATAAAATCTGAAACTGTAATAATACAAAGATAACTCACGGACATCAGCCTGGCGGAGATTCCTTAGTCGTATTACACGAACGGTAAGCAAGTTGCAAGGAAATGTTTTCATTTGCTGAAAAACAACATAAGAGTAGAAAACTGTGATATTTTATTATTTTGCTCTGTCTTTTGTTCTTCTTTACTGTGATCTCTTATTTATATCATTTTGGATTAGCCTTGTTAGTCTTTTAATCAGACTGGATCAGATTATTATGTAAGCCACATGGAGTCATTTGATTATGATGGGATAAAACATTGATAGATGAATAAAGAGGCCATACATTTGGTTTGCTTGTATTTCCAAAGACATGCTTTTTTAGTTGCAAATGAAAGCAGTTTTGAATACAGTATGAAGCTGACTGTCATTGCCTGTTTAATTATGAAAAAATTAAATATATCTGGTCAGATTGCTATCACTGATGAGGATTCAAGTTTCAATTTTCATAAATAGAATTACTTGAGATTGTAAAATAAATCTAGGGGATGGAAATCATTTTGCCATTTCCTAAGAAAAAGACAGAAGACAGGATTAATAAAAATCCTTTTTCAATTACAAGAGTGTAGGCATTGCCCAAAGCTTTGATTTATACAATTATCCAAATCTAAAGCAAACCAGACAGAAATAGATTTGGTATTTGGCATATTTTTCCCATCTTTCTTTTTGAGAAATGTTGTCTAGTGTTTCATCTTCCAAAATTGACTTTCTTTTCAGCAGCACTCATCATAATACTTTGGAGGAAGGGCAGTTGTTGAAAAATGACAATTAATTTCTCTCTCTCCTAAAGTGAGCACTTTAGCACAGCTTTATCAATCTTATTACCATGGAGCAACCCTTTAAATTAGTGTTTCTCAATCTTGTTGGCTTGAAAATGTGTGGACTTCAACTCCCAGAATTCCCCAGCCAGCATAGCAATGTGCAAAGTAACAAAACATTTTTTTGTCCAATCATGATCTCTCATGGAACCCCAGCTGAGAAAGGTTGGGAGAAGTGGATGTAATTGAGTTGCTGCCTATTGCATGTCTAATAGGTATTTGGTTGCCATCTCAGCTAATAGGACCAGATGATTTCCATGAGTTTGCCTACTTTTGTTAAATCTATTAATCATACAACACCTTATGCAGAATGAGGAGATATATTATTATCTTTCCCAATCAAATGCAGCTCAAGTATGGAAGTAATGACTGAATTCCTCATGTGACATCGTACAGAACTGTATACAAGTATTTCTTATCAACTTTGATTTTTTTAAGAAAAATATTGCTCATATTTATTCATATCGAACAAATGTTATGTTTGGCATTCATCATTTCCTCTAATCAGGTCATTTGGTCAGAATAGTTGTTACGATAACAGGTCACTTACACCCACTTCTCCCAACCTTTCCTTCCTGTGGGTAGAATTTTTGGTATGTAGAAGTCAGTGGGTAACTTCCTATGCACTTAATTGTTATGTACCATTGATATCGTAAATGGATAAAAATACTGTGTGATTTTCATTTGGCTATCCTCATAATAAACCTTAAATGTAAATCGCTGTCATACTATCAAATACATATGAGAAACTGAAGGAGAGAATTAGTGACTCTTTTTTTAGCCTTGCCTGTATTTGGCACAAACCTACCAACTTCATGACCTCATCATTATTTCCTTGCTGCTAAAAGAAACAAATAGTGCTAATGAAGAGAAAAAAGCTTGAATCCAATAAACTCAAATTTATACAGCCAATAAGGCATTCTTTTGAAAGAGGTCAACATTTCATGAACTCTGATTTTCCCCTGCTTTGGCTATCATGCCATGGCGTATCTCCATTCCTCAGCTAAAGAACTGGCAAGCAGCATTGACTGCCAGACTGTTTCACTGGCTGATACCGGATACCTTCACATCTAAAACATCACTTCGACCGGGCCTAGCTAGCTCATAGAACCAAAAAATGGAATAAATGCATAATTTAATCCATCTATTTTTTAAGTCCTTCCTTAGATATCGTAAAGATACGTTGTCTAGCTTGTTTTTTGAATGAACCACAAATGGGTGAGTTAGCACTATTCTGAATCCAATCAAAATGCAATTGGTTTAGTAATGTGTCAACCCAGCCATTGAAGTGGTAACATCCGTTACAGAGTATGAGTTGTGTATGGTAAAGAAGTGGCAAAATTATAACAGTAATTAATATCTAGAGCAGTTACATAAAAATTAGCTAAATAACTTGTATTTATTTCATTACAACTGTTGGAGATGAGGTTACCATGATCAGTCTGCTCAAATAGTTCTTTTGTCAGTTTTTATTCTTTTTAGTGATTACTTACCGTATTTTTTGGTCTATAATAATAATAACCTCTATTGCCATTCTCCCACCCCCCCCGAAAAAAGTGGGTGGAAATATCTGTGCATCTTATAGAGAGAATGTTGCCAAAGCCCCGCCCACCCCCCGGCCCCCACCCTTCGGCCTCTGCCTCCAGCAATTTGCCTCCTTGCAGCAAACAGCAAACAGCCTGGTCAGCTTCAGCACAGCCTAATTTAGCACAAGCAGCTGATTGGTGGTTGGATTGGCTTCCCAGAATACCAACAATCAGCTGTTCCAGGCTGTGGGGATAACTGCTGTCCATCGCCGTCGCCTCCACCTATCGCCATGTTCAGCAGCAATAGGCAGCGGCGATCCCCGTCACCTGAAATGGGCTGAAAACAGGACATGCGGAAGCTGAAAATGGAGCATGCGGAGATCGAAAACGGGACGTGCAGAGGCAGATAGGTGGTGGCAGCAATGGGCGGCGACAGCGGCAATGGGTAATGACGATCCCCACAGTCTGGAACAGCTGATAGGCGGTATTCCAGGAGGCCGATCCAATCAGTTGCTCATGCTAAATCAGGCTGTGCTGAAGCTGACCAGGCTGTTTGCTGTTTGCTGCAAGGAGGCATATTGCTGGGAGACAGAGGCAGATTTTTTTCCCCTTGTTTTCCTCCCCAAAAGCTAGGTGTGTCTTATAGTTTGGAGCATCTTATAGTCCAAAAAAATATGATAATTCACCTTTTTCTAAAATTAAATGTTCATAGTACCTTGCATTGAGAATCACAGTGTATTTCATCATGTTGGAGTTCGGCACTTGTGACAGGAGATGCATTTATAGAATTGTCCTGGAAGGGAAAAAGAGTGTGTATATGAATATGTTAAATAACACACACACACGCACACACACACACACAGGTAAGTTGGGATTTTTTTTAATGTAGTACATACACCAGGGGTGTCAAACCTGCATCATCATGGTGGCATCATGTGATTTATCACTTTTTCCCCCTTCGCTAAACCAGGTGTGGGTGTGGCCAGCATGTGACACATCTGGTCTGTGGGCCAAGAGTTTGACACCCCTGTAGTACACAATGCATCAAATAAAAACTATTTTAGTAGATATTGAAATTCTGAAATACAATACTGGGGTAGGTGGTAGGTGGTGAAATGCAAACTTTGCTTTTTATGTACCTGTGCATGAAGGTGTGGAACTTGCATTGTGACATAAAGATGCACATTTGGCATCATCATAGTTAGAAACAGATACTTTGAGTGAACAGTTGATGCTAGTTTCATCTAGTGGTTAAGGCACCAGGCTAGAAGCCAAGAGGCCATAAGTTCTAGTCTCACGTTAGACAAGAAAGCCGACTGGGTGACTCTGGGCTTTCTCTCAGTCCAATTTACCTCACAGGATTGTTGTGGAAATAGGAGCAGGAAGGAGTATTGTGTATGTTTGTTGCCTTGAGTTATTTATATAAATAATAAAGACAGTAAATGAATAAATAAAATATAAGAATTAAAATCAGCACTTTAAAAAATTTCAAAAGGACAATTATCCTTGAATGAAAAAGTTGACAACACATATAAAATTAATCTTGCATTTTGTAAAATGTGATCTTTAAAAATTAAAATAGTCAAATCCAATAGCTTTCAGTGGAACCTATTTCTAGATATGTCTGTATACAGTTGTCACTTAGGTCAGGGATAAGCTATGAAATGTTGCTGAATTCTAACTGCATCTTATACCACAACAGTAAGGAATGGTGGGAATTGAAATCCAACAAAATTCAGTGTTGACAACTAGAATGTAGAACATAGAATAATAGGGTTGGAAAGGATCTTGGAGTCTTTTAATCCAACTCTGTGCTCAAAGAGGAGACCCTATACCATTCCACACAAATGTTTGTCTTATCTCTTCTTGAAAACCTCCAATGTTGGAGCACTCACAAGTTCTGAAGGCAAGCCATACCACTAATTAATTGTTCTCACTGTCAGGAAATTTCTCCTTAATTCTAGGTTGGATCTCTCTTTGATAACCTTCCACCCATTACTTCTTATCCTGTCCTCAGGTGCTTTGGAAAATAGGTTAACTCCCTCTTTTCTGTGGCAGTCCCTCAAGTCTGAAGTCCCTCAAGATAGAAGACTGCTATTCTGTCATCCCTACTTCTTTTCTTTCTTAGACTAGCCATACCTAGCAATCATTCCTTGTATGGTTTTAGCCTCCCGAATCGTTATTATCACCATTGCTTATCTCTGCACTCTTTTTAAAGCCTCGGCATTTTTTTGTATCATGGTACCCAGAACTGGATGTAGTACTCCAGGTGTGCTCTTACCAGTCAGTGGTGGTATGCTACCAGTTCGGGGGAGATCTAGTAGCTCTGAGGATCAGCTAAGAATCGGTTCGCTCCAACGATCAGCTGTTTTGGCCCACCCGCCTGCCCAAACTCTAGGCTGTGCTTTATACTTTGTTCTCCAAGCTCAGCTGATTGGCGCAGCACAGTGGATTGCCATGCATCAGTTATGTAACACACAGGGATTGCTGGAAAAGCTCATTAGCAAATACTCTGCGCGTGCACAAAGTGCGCATTTGGTGCACACACGTGTTTGGCACACACACACGTGTTTGCCGCATGCGTGCGCAAAGCATGTGCTCACCGAAGTGGTAGGAAAATCTTTTGAAACCAACCACTGTTACCAGTTCAGTATAAAGTGCTTCTATTACTTCACATGACCTTGATCTGATCCCTCAGTTGATGCAGCCTAGGAATGAATTGTTTTTTTGG